GCGGATGGAGCTGTGACGTGAGCCGACGAGCCACGAATGTCGCAGCGGGCCAGTGCGAATCCGTGTGTTCGTAGCCCTTGCATTAAACACGTGTTTCAGTACATTGTTAATACAATGGCCTTTCAGCAGAAGCACGAATTAGGTAAAGAACTTAAAACAGTATTAAATACGATAAATTAATACCGTTGGTGATACAATTTTTTTAATATGAAAAAGAAATGAGGCAATAAATAAAATAATTCATTCAGTTTAAAAAAGGTTATTTGATCGACTAGCTATCTAAAAAGTGTTGTAATAAAGACACTATTTTGTAAAATTGATATAGAAATGATATGAAATGAAATGAAATTGATAAAGAAAATGAATTTTTCTTTAAAAGTGTTGTATCACTGACACTGAATACAAAAATGTAAAATTAACTATTAACTAAATTAATATAGCGTCCAAGTCTTTTTGTGTGATCGAGAGCGATCGAGAATGATTATGCAAATAACTTTCTCTCATCGTCATTCGTTTTTAGAATTGGATCTCTGTCTCCACCCAGGGGTGATCGTTCTGTGTTCAGTATCCGGAGCACGGGCACTTGCTGAGGGAGGCACGAACGAGTACCCAAATTTAGTGCGAACCAAGCGGCGCTTCCGAGCACGCGGCTGCTTTGGCGCCCCGAAGCCCACTGGGCACTGCGACGCTCTCCGGCGGAGACCTCTTGAATGGCATCAGCGGATCGATACGTTCACCTCAGCATCTGTCTCCGACACCGGCGGCTTCCACACGAATACATACCCACACACACACAAGCACAAACACGCGTGCACACAAACAGAGAAAAAGGCAGACCCCAGAGAGACCCATACTCTTGCAGAGATAATACGTATGGGGTGGGTGAGCGAGCGCACGTGCATGCACACGCGCGAGCGCGCGTTTGCGTATTCCGGTTCGTCCGCTCTCTTGTGCTCCAGCCACCGGTCTGACTCGGCAGTCGCGGTATAAACTAACGGGCAGCGATGGTCCATTAACGTCCCTTCGTTTGATTGCTATTCGACGGCTGAAAAAACCGTTTGTCCCCCCCCCCCCCCGAGACATTTTTCCTCTTTTCCGGTAAATTTAATGATTTGTTGTCACGAACAGGAAATGATGCATTAGCCGTTGCCCGAATGGAAATTTCGAAACGGGAGACTAATCCGACGTGCATGCGGGATGACTGAATTCTAATTATCCTTGACAGCGCATGCGGTTGGTTGGAGGCGGTGGGAAAAAGTACTGCCGAGGCAGTGTTGCCAATGACGGAAAATAACCCTATGACGTGACGAGGATGCCTTTAAAAGATCCTACACATTTTGCATAATTAATTATGATTTAATAAGTCTGGAAACAATAACAATAATAATAATAATAACAATAATAATAATAATAATAATAATAATAAAAATAATAATAATAATAATAGTATTAACAATAATATTGAAACTTCAGATTAATAAAACTTTGAAATGAAATTGCGACCAAATAAATTTAAAATATCTCGGAATAAAGTGTTCTTGAACCACAGAACAACATAACAGACCCAGTATCACCGCAAAAATAACACTTCGGAATTCCAATGCATGCAGAATTTGCATCGGAATTCTATTCATTAATTTATATCCCAGAAAGGGAAATCTACAATTTAAAAAAATATTGCATTACGACAGAAAAAATTCGTTTTATGTGAATCATTTATTGTAATGTATTCGTGAACTAATCCCCAGAACAGGTGCTATGCCCTGCATGCATGATGTAGCTATGTAATACAAAGAAATTCTGACTGAAAATATTTAAACCAATTTACTCATCACCAATGGAATTTTCCAACTGAAAATGTAAATCACGTGTAAAAACGATTAAAATTTAAATATTAATAAAAACTAATAAAACTTAAATACGTAACTACGTTTCCGTAATTCTTTAATTCGAGATAAGCCATTTCACCTTCTCGTGACGTCAATTGGCAAACATTGACGCCCTTGCATCAATCTTTCCCAGTCTTTACCGCTCCCACGGAATTTTGCCTCTGATTACACACTTCTGGCTCGCAAATTACAACGGACCGTGATGAACATTCACTCGTTAGCTGGCGCGTTGCACAATGGGCGCGGTGGCTGCACAGCCGCGGCGGCGGCGGCGGCGGCACCTCACCAGGCGGCCACGGGGAGCGTCTGGGAACGCATAATAGCGGCGCTGAGCCCCTCCCCCTCCTTCCCCTCCAGCCCCACGCCCGAGCCCCCTCCCGCGCCGGCTAGCGTGTATTACCGCGCGGTTGTCCGGTCCATTACGCCGCCCTAATTCCAGCCGGCCCCGGCTGTCATCCACGACGCCCGCGGGCGGCCTATTAGAGGCCCCCGCGGGCGCGCGACGCCCCGCGTCTACACCACGCCCGCGCCCGCGCCCCGCGCCGCCCTCCACCCCGCCCATCCGGCCCCCGCGCCTCCGCCCACCCGCACTTCCGCCCCGCTCTCCGCCCTCCGCGCCCCGCGCCCTCCGCCCCGGCCTCGCCCCCGCCCCCGCCCCCCGCGCTCCGTCCCCCGCGCACCGCGCCCTCCGCCCTCCGCGCCTCGCTTCTTCCGCTCCCGCGAGGTGCACTGCTTCGGCACCCCCCGACGTGCAGGGAAATCCATCGCGCGAGAGAATGCCATTTCATGCTTTGGCGCAGCTCGCAGCCAGCCCACGAGGCAAGTCCGTCGTGATAGAGCCGCGAATAGGATCTTTAAATGATGGACAGGCAATAGAAAAGGTTTCCGTAATGTGATGGCTCAAAGGAGAGATACGAAAATAAAAATGACCGATGTCACGAAATAAAGATTATGGCCTCTTACGAAACGATGAGATGCAATGATGTTTTCGATTATGGTAATACAGACTGAAAGAAAGTACGCACGCAACGAAAGATCAAGAAGAACGCAAACTACGAATATGGTGTAGTGCATTAGTGTAATATAGCAATGGCAAATGGTCCTACACTTCGAAAGTTCAAAAAAGATCATGGGTTTGCCTCTCCAGAGACCTTTCTCTCTCAACATACTGTGCTAAGCATATAATAAGGCTTTTTTCAGCTTTTGAAGGGAGATTGATAAAAAATACATTTATGTTTCCGGGCTCGTCAACAACTATGGTCATTAGACCGGGGTGTGTACCGCATATTGTAATGATTTCATCCCCGTTGCATGGTGAGATCCGCCTCCCACCTACATGACAATTAACAGAGAAAAACTCCCTCCAGGTATCTCTCACTACGGGTCACGTATTAAGTGTGTGTGTGTGTGTGTGTGTGCGGGGAGAGAACAGGACAAGGAAACGCAAGGAAGACAGTGCGCGGTACGTGTCTTATTGATACAATACTGCCCCGGAATGTGGCTGGTGTTGATGAGAAAAACCGCCGAAAGCTACCGGTCAGAGCAGCCGTCTGCTAGAATTCTCCTCCGTACAGCAACTGAATTCGACCTAGGGGGCAAGCCAGCGTCGACAATCCGCCGCCGTTCGAACATGAACGCTAAAACCTTCCGGTCAGAGGCACTGCATGGACAGTGGCAAGTGAAACTCAGACGATATTTAAAGTAAAAGTATTCTCCCATCTTAACATTTTCAGAAAAAATGTATTCTTCAATCTGCAAGAGATTGGTATTTTCGTCCTTACATCTTTAAGATCTCTGTACTATCTGTTCAGTATTGAAGCAAATTTTTACACTTAGATTCCAAACGAAATTCGGAGAGCAAGGTCGCTCTCGAGGTAATACCAATATGTTCAAAACTTTCTTAACAAATATTATTTACACTTATAATACTGGGATTAAAATTTTGCCTGATGCACGTCCAATTAAAAGTGTGGCGAAAGTAAACAACTCGGGTGCTTTGAAATTCTGTATTTATGGCTTGTCCGTTTACATTCTTTTAGTGACTTTATTCACACGCATCTGATTTTCGTAATGATTTGTATCAATACTTAAAATACTACATTTTGTGTTGAACTTGGGATAATGTAGTAACTCACTCTTCAAAATTAACTACATTCATCGGTAATTATGTTTATGCACTGAACTAACACTTCGAGTCATTTACCTGCTGGCACTCCCGGTCATTGGTTGCGGAAGAGCGCAGAGCGATGCGGTCTTCGGCGACTGTTTTAGAACCTGTCAAACTATCTACCGCGTGAACGAACAATAATCTTGACCAAACAGTTTAAACGTATTGACTCAATCAAAATATCCTTTAAGAGAAAATCAAACTGCCT